CCCCCCCCCCCCCCCCATGCAGGGCAGGAAGACGATAAACAAAAGAGCTCACGCCCTGGGACCAGGCAGACCTGGGTGATGAAACACGAGGACGTGGGCAGGAAAAGACAAGCATTACGCTCAGTCCCACCAGCAAAGGGGCTCCCCAGTTCCCCTGTGGGTAGGGAATCGACGTCAACTTCAAAGCCATATCACTTCTAGTTAATTGTGTGTGTGTGTGTGTGTGTTTACCATTTCGGAATCTGTGCGTTCAGTGTTCTTAACTAACGCCTCCTTTCTCCTCCCTCTTTCTTTCTTTCCCGAGTTCGAGGACCTTTTGAAATATGAATCAAAAGAACTGTCTGAGATAAGTGGCACCCTAATAGTACAGCCAAGAATCAGAAGCGCAGAATGGGGAGATGATAAGAATCCTATCTGCCGAGGTCCTCAACAATGCTCCCAAAGCTATTTTTGTCATATTTTGTTTGACAGCTATTTCCGAATCACACAACTGAATTCTCATCTACAGCTGGTAGAAGTGAGATGGATGGAACCATTGTAGAGAGCAATTCAGAAATATTTAGCCATATTGTCTATTTTTAGATTTGGAAACACGGCTATCCCAATATATGCCAGAGAAAGTCTTGCACAGGTCCAGACGAAAATAAATGTGCACGGATGTTCCTCACGGCCTTATTTTGGGTCCCAGGGAGTTGGAGGTGATGTAGGTATCCATCATTTGGGGAATGGGTAGATGAAATCTGATAGAAGCTAATGGTGGAAGATGATGCAGCAGTTGAAGCAATGGAAACCATTTTTTAAAACATTTTTAATGTTTTATTTTATGTTTGAGAGAGACAGAGAGAGAGAGAAAGAACATGAGTAGGGGAGGGGCAGAGAGAGAGAGGGAGACACAGGACTTGACACAGGACCCAGGCTCCACATTGTCAGCACAGAGCCCGGCATGGGGCTCGAACCCACTAACTGTGAGATCATGACCCGAGTCAAAGTCGGATGCTTAACTGATGGAGCCACCCAGGCGCCCCTCAGTGGAAACCTTTTTTAAGAAAGAGTGCTAAATGAAAAAGTAAAAAATAGAACAGGATCTGTAGCATGATATTATTTTAATGAAGTTAAGAAAAGCATACATAGACAAACCCTTTACTTTTAAGATATGTACATTTCCAAGGGTA